GCTTTACTTTCATAAATTGCAGGATCTTCTGTACTTTATCTTTGCCAGAAGATTTAAACTTCAAAAGCCTTGCCCTCATAATTTGCAAGTTAATTTATTTATAAAGGCTATTTTAATTATTGTGATCAATTTGTGCCGTCAATCCCGGCGCATGCCCACTTCATTTGCAGTCTGGACGCTGAGGGTAAACATCCTGTGGCTCTGACTGCAGCGCTGAGACTGCTGTTGGAGCGGGAGAACGGGGTTGGGATGGGGGAGGCGCCCCACGGCAGAGTAGGAACGATACATGCTTTCACGTAAGAGTCTCCAAAAGCCGCCAGTACCACCGTAAAAAGTCGCCTGATTTGTCGCTAGTCGCTTTTTTGAAAAATAGTCGCTGGAGGGGTCTGAAAAGTCGCTAAATATAGCGACAAAGTCGCTGAGTTTGCAACACTGCGCACCTGCAGCGCTGGCTTGCTCTGCCGTAATTTTTTTTCTTCCCCCATTTCAGTCAGTGATGACGACGGCGGCGGATGACGCATTAATCGCGCGACACAACAAATCGACAATGAAATTCGTTGCCAACGCTTTTAAAAGTCGATTTTTATCGATTTTATCGATTCGTTGTTGCAGCCCTAGTTAGGATTATACCTATTAATGATATGAGTCTGTTAAACTATAATAATACCTTCCTGTTATGTGTCACAACTAATGTTTTCCCAAGTAGTTTATCTAATTGGGATAGTTCCTCTGTCTGGCTATGCAGTTATCTTCTTTATGTACGTAGCAAAGATTTAGGAATGGAATGAGTGCGGTGTCCTTGCTATAAGAAGAAAGTGTAATATTTTAATAAGCCTTGAGCCCGGCTCGCACTGGGAAAAATTTTCGGCCCTGGCATTTTTCTATTTACTTTTTTTTTTTTAATAAAAGCACAGTCAAACGCATGTGTCTCAAATGTGAAACACAATACGAATACACATTGTGGATTAACTGATCTATCTTCAAGCATCACACGACAACCATCACCAAGACTTCTATAATGCTGTTTCACTACCTTTGGTTATTAGCATGGACGCAACAGTTACTTCAGCAGCGTTGCCAGATGTCATTGACTCACGTTTTCCAGCCCAAAAAATTTTCATAAACCGCGTAGATATACAAGATGTCGCCGAATTTGATCCAAAGTCTATTGATCACTTAGGCCATAAATCTAAAGAAAAACATTTTCACCCATAGACGGCCAACCTTAAAATGTCAGATTGGGAAACATCCCAACATGGCAACAATGCACATAAGACGGGAAATGTTAGCCTGTAGATGCAAAACCCCAACATGCAACGCAAGATATTTTTGCAAAATATTCAAACATAAATTTGCGAAATACAAGAAGAAACTATAATTTAGTTTGTTGCAAGGATTTTAAGTTTGAAGAAATAGAAAATTACACCATATGCCAACCGTCACAAGGATGTGCATGACAAGGAAGGGCTATATATACTGCATGCATCATTTAAGTAGTTATTATTGTATTACCTTTGAGCTCCTTGAGTTATTTACTGTCAGAGAGTAAGTGTTGGGGCCAGTATGATTTAAGGAGGTTCGACCCTCGCATGCTGAAATTAGGACCTGTCGTCTATAATTCTCTTCTTGACGACTTAAAATTGAAGTTTTATAAAAATTCAAAGTTCTTAAAAAGCAGAAAAAGACTCAAACAAAGATCAAAAAATTTAGACAGAGGCCGCTGAGTCCGGGTCCAGTGNCGTCATATGCTTCGTTGATCTGATTGGTTTATTTGGCCCGTCTATCACCAACATAGGCCAATCAGCTAACCAGTATTTTCACCCCTTCCCGAAATTACTTCAAACGAAGTCAGGTTATGATAATTTACCATGAGGGTCCAGATTTGGCCTTATGTTAAAAAAAAAACTTAAGCACCATATTTATTTTGCACTGCAATGAACCTTTCATACTGATGCCCTTTTGAACCATTTTTTTTTTTTTTTTAACTAGATTTCCTTTTCTCCTGTGCTGTTTGCATGATGATCACTGCTGCACTTTAAATGGCAATGTTCATTTCAATGTATGAAGCTGTAAAAAACATTTGGTGTATACGAAATGAAAAGGTATCAATATTTGGAAATTTACATTGTCACAATAAATCAAACGCCTTAGCACTATAAGAAACTTTTCCATACAAATGATACCATAAACACTCATCACTATTTTCAACCAGATAGGAAAACATTTAATAAATATTTGTCATTAAGGTATGGATCAGCGAAAAGAAACACCTAGAAATGATCAGAGATACGTAGCAAACATGTTTTACACGATTTGAGTTTGTGAGATAATTTAGAGGAAAGAAAACATTTTTAATCTTTTAACTTGCCAAATGCTCCTTTAATGACAAAATCTTTGTTTCTTTTTGTCTTTTGACTATTTCCAATACAAATAAATGCTTTCACTGGTGTTTATTAACAAAAAAAGGCTAAATTACATTCATAATAAATAGAACATGCTGATGTATGCAAACCTATTATTGTTGGAGTAACAGGTGAATGTCAGAGTATACGCAACTACAGAAACTCAGCTAAGACACAGATGAAGAGTTTTGGGTTGATTGTGTATTTTCATGATTCCTAAACAAAGTCTTGCATGTCTCAAAAACTGCCAATTTTGAAAAGAGTCAAAAGTCCCTTAGCAGGTACTGAATGATACAGCATTAACCCTCTGTTACAGGACAGTCGTCGTTTTTGGTTTTATATAAGCGTAGGCTCACCCACCTCGGAGGTATTTCACTTTGAGGTACTCTGAGCTGGCCTTTTGTCCCAGCAGAGGGTCGTTCAGCATGACTTTAGTCTGAGCTTTGATGCCCTCGTAGAACTGACCCATGGCCACATGGCTCAGGCCCTTCATGTACTGACACACCTCGTTGTACGGCTCCAACTGGAGACAACGCTGTTGGAAAACAGATAAGTTAAGTTTAAAACTTCTTTCATCCTACCAACTATAGTGCAGAGTCAAATGTTTAAGGAATTAGTGGATTTCTGTACCTTAAAGTTCCCAATGGCCTCCTGCAGAGAGCCGTGGTGGTACAGCATGATGCCTCGGAGCTGGAGAGACTGGATGTGGTTCTGGTTAAGCATTAGGGCTTTCTGGAAGCTGTCCATAGCAGATTCAAAATCCCCCAGTTCTCTAAAAAGAGAGAAGAAAAAAAAGGTTAAACTTCTCCAAGAGGAAAGCTTGAGATAAGTGACAAAACAATTTATGAAATCAAGTTAGAAAGAGACCTGTAGGCCTGCCCAAGGCTCTTATATGCATCTATGAAGTCAGACTTCAACTTCAAGGCCTCTTTGAATGTCTCAATGGCTTCCTGATGAAGGAGAAACATCGGACACAACACGGGTAATAAGATCTCACAGTGACCTTTTGACAGGTTTACCTACGAACTAAAATGACATCAAGGTGAATTCAAATGTACTTTATTTCCTGTTATTTCTACCTAAAACAACCAGGCTGAAATTAGCTCAAAGACCTGTAATAACATACCGGTAACAGATATAAAGTCACCAGCTCTGCCCTCTGCCAAAATCAGCAAAAGTCAATAATTCACATGCTCTTCCCTCAGGTTCATAAATTAGTGTCAGAGTGAGGTGGCTCCATAAAGAGACGAGGTAATCAGATAAAGGACACATTCGCACGTGTCCTCCGTCACGGAGGAGGTTATCAACTCCGCTGCAGTTTTATACTGATAAAAACAAACGTCCACGAGGGAGGTCCTGCCACGCTAACAGTGGAGCGTTTAAAGCTGTGCTGCTGTCATTTGTAACAAGGGCTTCCCCAGTCAGTTTAGCTGAAGCAATAAAAGCAACAAAATATAAAGACATAAAACTTTTAATCTAATCAGTACGACTGCAAAATAAACTTAGACTGAAATTAAAATGGCAGCACCGTCAGCACATTAAACGCTATCTTATCAAGGTTCTTAATTATATCAAAGTGGAAATTATAAAGTTCAACTGCATTGGTTCTCAGAAAAAAATCTTGATAGTTATTTGAAATTATTTAATTGTAAAAAAGCATTTTGTTGCAAAATATATATCAAAGGAATAGTACACCCAAAACATGATTAGCCTTCATTTTCTACTCACCCCCATGCTGAACAACAC